CCACAAGTCCCATCACCCCCAACCTTCCAGGAAGATCTTGAGACTCACACGGGTCTCTCCCATGGAATCTGAAGTGGCGCGTCTGGTTCGTTCCTCTTTTGAATCCTATTTGCTTATGGCCCCATCAAGTAGACTAGGGGACACCCAGCGTGGTGGGTCGTGGCTTAGAGCGTCAGGCTCAGAAACCTGGTTTCAAATCCTTGCTTGGTCTCAAAAACTGGCTAGTGGAACTCAACAGCGTAACAAACCCTACCTGAAATATCTCATTTACCTTAGGGTTGTTGTAAGTCAAGTTGGAGTGAGATACGTTGGACGGGCCGGTGTTCCCTCTCCCGAGTCTCCAGATCCTCCCTCCCCCCCATGTGCCTCTTGAGTGACTCCGTGTGGGGCACGGTCTGCCCTTCGATGTGCCCACAACGTCCCCGGGGCCATGTTGCCACTGGCAGCAGCTCTGGGGCATTGTGGAGGGGATTCAAAATGGCGGACGACTCTTCCGTGCTGTTGTCACCAGTCAGAGATGTGTGGCTGGAAGACTGGGAGGACTGTGCTAGTTCAGTAACTGGTCAGGAGGCCGTTACTGGTTTAGGGTCTCACAAAGGACAGCAGATGCTTACTTAGTTATTTTGGGGGGTTTACATCAAGGAAAATGAAGAGGCTCTCTGTGAGTTAGTTTATTTATTTAATTAATCTCTGCTGCCAAAGTAACTAGTTGGGTTTAAACAGGATGGACCTTGTTTGGAGACCAACGGGGGAAGATGCCTTTTATTGACTGGCTCCAGTGTTGAAAAGCACAGGAATTGAGGTCTCTGGCTGGGGATCCCAAGGTTGGGGAGTTCGATTCCCCGCTTGTGCCTCCTTGACCGGGGCTGGACTCTATGGATCCATGGGGTGTCCCTTCCAGCTCTGCAGATCTAAAACCTAAGATTATTAATACCTAAAGGAATTCAGATAATTCTAATCCAAAAAGTAATTGTCCCAAAGCTCTGATGACAATAATGATACCTATGTGAGGAAACAAAAAAATTTATAATTTTGATTGACTGTGCCTGCTAGTTTTGATTTGATAACAACAACAATTTAGTGAGGTGGTGGTGGTGGTGATGATGATGGCAAACATTCTGGTGCAATTTGACTCTAGTCTTCTGATTTCTGATCACGTGGATGTCTGTGAGCAAATTCAGCTGACACGTGATGAGAAACTGGCTTCCTCTTTACAATTACAGCTGTGAGCCAGAAATAGGGGTTGGGGGTGGGTATCTATCTATCTATCTATCTATCTATCTATCTATCTATCTATCTATCTATCTATCTATCTATCTATCTATCTATCTATCTATCTATCTATCTATCTATCTATCTATCTATCTATCTATCTCTCCTAGCATTCTGGGAGTTTTAGCCCCCAGATACTCCCCTGGAGACCCCTACAATTCACCCACCTAGACTGAGAGATTGCTTTTAGTCTCAGTGTTTGTGGGTCACAATCTCCTTCTTGCCGGTGGGCATCTGAGGGAAGTGGATTGCGATCCACGAATGTTGCCAGAGGTTGCTTCGTTTTGCTAAAATGGACTGACACAGCTACCCCTTCGAAGTTGGCTATAACAGTGCTTTGCGTTGCCCAACGCTGTTAAAAAGAAGGGTTTCCTTTCTTTGTCTGCTACCATCTATGTGAACGTTTTTGTCAAACTGAGCATACACTGTAAAAGGCATGGCAGAGGGGAAGGGAAACTGAGCCCCAGACCGTTCCATGATCCTCTCATAATGTCTTCCTGTTCTACCCATGTTTTTAGCCCCACATCCTCAAAATATACTATAGACCTCAGGGAGAAGGATGCTGTAAAGCTTGGGACATTGGTGGCAATTAAAGAATTCCTTTTTTGGATTCTAGAGCTCACATGACTTGCTCACAGTTGGTCTCATTGCACAAGAGCAGGGTGAGCCCCAGGACTGAAGCAGGAACTCTTTGATCACTCTTCTGATGCTGTGTTCTACCCATGTTTTCAGCCCCACATCCTCAAAATATACTATAGACCTCAGGGAGAAGGATGCTGTAAAGCTTGGGACATTGGTGGCAATTAAAGAGTTCCTTTTTTGGATTCTAGAGCTCACATGACTTGCTCACAGTTGGTCTCATTGCACAAGAGCAGGGTGAGCCCCAGGACTGAAGCAGGAACTCTTTGATCACTCTCTCAATCTGATGCTGCCAGTAACATTATCGCCCTCAGGCGGGGTAACACAACAGCATAGATAAACACATACATAGTTATTGGGATGAAAAGCCTATGGCCAATCCAAGTTAAAAGCAATACAGTTTAACTTGGGAGTTCTTTATAGTGCATCAGATCTGGATAACATGTCAGGAAAGATTGAACTCCATGTTACATATGAGATCTGGCAAAGATTCTTTTTTTTTTAAGCAACACAAAGTATTTTAATTGGACTGGAGCATTTTTTCCCAATCCGAACGTCCGGTATCTCTAGACTGCCATTTGCCTCGATTTGGTCCCCCTGCCTTTCTGCATGGCCGACAGCCTCTTGGAGTGTGTGTGCCTCAATTTGGGTTAGCAGCATAGACTGAAGAGATTAGAAACTGTCCTTTCCTGCCCAGAGGGTAAGATTCGATCTCATGGCCTTAATGCTGCAGATTTCAGTGGAACATAAAGCAAGGTTGACAATGGAATCAGTGACCAGAGTTTGGAAAAGTGAGCTTTTTGGACTAGGTATAACCAAAACAACCCCCCCCCCCAAAAAAACAGAAGTATTTTGGTGCCCTGAACTGTGACTGATTCATTTCTGTATTAAAAGCCCTGTTGCATGGATTAGATTAAAATAAAGGTGAGATGTCACCAACAGGGGGCTATAGCTCATAGTTAAAGACCTCCTGTTTGGATCCCAGAGCTCACACGGCTCACCCACTGTGGGTCTCATTGCACAAGAGTTGGCTGAGCCCCAGGACAGAAGCAGGGATTCTTGATTTATAGGCAAACTGCCAGTAACATCATCACTCTCAGGCAGGTGTGCTCAACACAACAGGATTTTGCTCAAGGTGAACTTTAGGGGATTGCAGACCCATGAATTAATTTTGGACGACAAGCCCCCAAATCCCCTGATCTTGGCCATTATGTAGAGAGAAGTTGGGCTGCCATCTTGTGGTAGGAAATCATAGCAATAGATTGCACAAAGCTAAAGACAGGACGAGATAAATAGTATGAGAGCTGTCTTCAAACATTATTAATACTGAACACATGAAGAGGAAGAGGTGGGGGAACCCTCGTCTTGCTTTCGCCGCCCTCAAAACAGATTGACATTCGACCCTCCAGACTTTTCCCCACTATTCCCTTCCACGATTTCTCATCTTTGACCCTCTTGTCTAGGCCTGAGGGAACAGATAGGGTCAAAACATCTGGAGGGCCACAGTTGCTCACCTTTGAGATGGACTTTTCTCTTCACAAAAGTACCCTCCATGGGTTGAGTGATGCAGGGGCTGAGCGGGTAGCTAGACCCTCCTTCATCACATCTAGTAAACACAGCCTCCTCACCTGCGGAACTCACCGCCCAAGGATGCCGTGGTGGCTCCCCNCCCCCCCCCCGCTGACGGCTTTGAGGCTATAGCCATCCATGGCAATGAATCCAGAATGATTAGGATCACTTCCAGGATCAGAGGCAGTCTACCTTCATGGATCAGTTCCTCGGGGACGAAGAGGGTGTGTCTTGTTAGCGGGCTTTCCGCGAGTCTCTGGTTAGTCCTTCCTAGGAACGGTGCGTCGGACTCTTGAGTGAGCACAGCTCTTCCTGCATCCATGGACAGCCCTGAAATTTATCTTGCGCCTGTCAGAAGAGAGCTTAAATGCACCCCACAGTCTGTTTGTGGATTTCCCGCAGATTATGCTGTTTGATCCTTGTGGAATAAAGTAGGCGGAACGAGGCTCAAGATCTCCTGATGCAGCCTTTCTCCATCTTTATACAATGACCCAACTAGCTATTCTATCATTGGAGGGGTGGGGGGTGGGATTGATTCTGCCCTCCTTTTTCTATCCCTGGAGCCACTCATCCCTGAGAGTCAATAGTGACATCCATGGTTCAGCCTCCCCTTTTATTCTTGCAGCCACCAAGGAAGATTTATGGCCAAATGAAGATTTGAACCCAGGACTTGGTGGTCCGAGTCTAACATTCTGACATTCAGAGAAAGATAGTGCTCCTAGGGGATGTTTATATTGACTGGAAAAAAGCCGTCCTGGAATTCCTAAGTAGCGTAGGAAGTAAGTTGCCTTATAATGATTCAGATCTTTGGTCCATCCAGCGATGATTCTCCATGGTTTCAAGCGAGATCCTGCCCTAGCCCTATCTGGTGATCTCTGCTGATCCTTTCCCAGCCCTGTCTGGCACTTCCATTCAAACACTAACTAGAATTCTCACCCTATTAGACCTCTCATTCAAGGTGAAAGAGATGACCTTCTTTGTGTTGACTCTCGAGGGCTACCTGGGAATGTCCCTTCTCAGGTGACCCCTGCCTCTGGATTTTGTTTGTGTGAACCAGCTTTCTAGTCGGGGGGGCGGGGAGAACGAAGAAAAGGCTGTTTATTTTTGTGGCGCAGTTATTATTATTATTTTTCTTCCTGTACAGATGAGGACGATGCCAACCGGTTGGGCGAGAAGGTGATTCTCCGAGAACAAGTGAAAGAACTGTTCAATGAAAAATATGGTGAGTTTTCTCTGTGTGCCTCCCTCCCTGTCGGACTGAGGACTAGTGACTTATCTCCCACGTACGAGCAAAAAAAGCAAAGCTCCGCCCACTTAGTAGGAAGCCTTCTCGGTGGCCATGCCAAGCATCTTGAATTCTCTACTGGAGGAAGTGAAGGCTGTTTTTTGGAACAACTCTTTATTCAGCCCGTTTTTAGCAACAAATCTCACTTGCTATGGGAAGAGTTTTTAACTAGATCGGTACAGGATTAGGGGATGCATTTTTATTTGAACTTTTAATGTGTATTCGGAAAGCCCCTTTGTGGATACTCTTGATGGCCAGGAATATGAACCAGTGGGTCCTAGATCAAACTAAGCCTGATCTGTCTCTGTAGGTAACAATGTTGAAATGGGGGCTGTACTACTTTGGGGTGCATCCTGAGAAGGGAGGATGCTCTGGAAAAGACCGTAATGAAGAGAAAGGGGGGAAGGCAGCAGGAAAGGAGGAAGACCTAAAATGAGATGGTGTGACTCCCTAAAGGAAGCCACAGGCTTGAGTCTGCAAGAGCTGAGCAGGACTGTTGAGGACAGGACGTTTTGAAGATCAGTCATTTATAGGGTCACCATAAGCCGACAACTTGATAGCACATGACAGCAAATGAATGTGAATTGGTATCCTAAAACTTTTCATCCGCTCACCATCGCTGGGCAGCTGACCCAGTGTCTGTATCTTATTTTTCCTCTCTTCCTTTCCATGCTTGAAACATTCTAAAATCTTGTTCTAATGCTCAAGTTATTGGCCATAGGAGCTTGCAGGTAAAATATACAAGAGATTTGGTTCTGATACTTTAACTGCCACCCCACACACACACCCAAAACACATACCTTTGGAAATTTCTTGGAAATTCATATTCCTCCTTTGCTAGAGAGAAAGAATATAAGGAACTGGTTACTCAGTGGATTGATGGTTATTCTGAGGATGAATCCCAGGGAGCTGATGTTAAATGAAATATTGAAAGGGTTGGGTTCTGATTTCACGATGAGCATGCATTGTAAGTTTTAAAAACAAATGGTTACATTGAGAACACACACACATATATATATATATATTTGCACGACTAGCCTGGTTCTAGCAATGCTGCGTCCATCCTAGACTTTTTCCACCCTATTAGACCTCTCATTCAAGGTGAAAGAGATGACCTTCTTTGTGTTGACTCTTGAGGGCTACCTGGGAATGTACATTCTCAGGTGACCCCTGCCTCTGGATTTTGTTTGTGTGAACCAGCTTTCTAGTCGGGGGGGCGGGGAGAACGAAGAAAAGGCTGTTTATTTTTGTGGCGCAGTTATTATTATTATTTTTCTTCCTGTACAGATGAGGACGATGCCAACCGGTTGGGCGAGAAGGTGATTCTCCGAGAACAAGTGAAAGAACTGTTCAATGAAAAATATGGTGAGTTTTCTCTGTGTGCCTCCCTCCCTGTCGGACTGAGGACTAGTGACTTATGTCCCATGTGTGAGTAAAAAAGCAAAGCTCCGCCCACTTAGTAGTGGCCACGCCAAGCATCTTGAATTCTCTACTGGAGGAAATGAAGGCTGTTTTTTGGAACAACTCTTTATTCGGCCTGTTTTTAGCAACAAATCTCACTTGCTATGGGAGGAGTTTTTAACTAGATCGGTACAGGATTAGGGGATGCATTTTTATTTGAACTTTTGAAGAGCAGTCATTATAGGGTCAACATAAGCCGACGGTGTGATAGCACACAACAGCAAATAAATGTGAATTTGTATCCTAAAACTTTTCATATGCTCACTATTACTGGGCACCTGGCCCAGTGTCTGTATCTTACTTTTCCCCCCTCCCTTTTCACCCCTGAAACATTCTAAAATCTTGTTCGGATGCTCAAGTTATTGGCCGTAGGAGCTTGCAGGTAAAATATACAAGCGATTTGGGTCTGATACTTTAACTGCCACCCCCCCCCACACACGTCACCTCACCTTGAGAAAGAATACGAGGAACTGGTTACTCAGTGGATTGATGGTTATTCTGGGGAGGAATCCCAGGGAGCTGATCTTAAATGAAATATTGAAAGGGTCGGGTTCTGATTTTACGATTAGCATGCGTCATAAGTTTTTTTAAAAATGGTTAAATTGAGAACACACATGGGTGGATGCATGTCTGTCCATCACATTTGTTTCCCACCGGCCTGCCGGACGACATCCCGTTCCGGAATCCGAACACCTACGACATCCACCGGCTGGAGAAGATCCTCAAAGCGCGGGACCGTATCCAGATGGCGGTGACGAGCCAGTTCCAGTAAGCTCGGGGCCCACTTTCTCCCCACCTCCCTCTTTTCCTGTCCCACCCCGCACAGAGATTTTTTCCCCCACCCCAATCGGGCATCACAAAATAAAGGAGTTGGAAGGGGGTTCTAAGGCCATGGAGCCCAACCCTCTGCTCGAGGCATAAATCCAAAGTAGGTCTGAAAGATGGCTGTCGGGCTTTCTCTTGAAGACCTCCAACACTGGAGCGCTCACCACTTCCCAAGGTCATGGGTCGCATCGTCGTACTGCTCTAACAGTCAGGAAGTTTTTCCTGATCTTCAGCTGAAGTCTGAGTTGGAAGGGGGTTCTAAGGCCATGGAGCCCAACCCTCTGCTCGAGGCATAAATCCAAAGTAGGTCTGAAAGATGGCTGTCGGGCTTTCTCTTGAAGACCTCCAACACTGGAGCGCTCACCACTTCCCAAGGTCATGGGTCGCATCGTCGTACTGCTCTAACAGTCAGGAAGTTTTTCCTGATCTTCAGCTGAAGTCTGGCTTCCTGTAGCTTGAGTCCCTTGTTGCGTGTCCTGCACTCTGCGGTGATCGAGAACAGATCCTGCCCTTCTTCTGTAGGACTACCTTTCAAGTCTTTGAAGAGCGCCATCGTATCTCCCCTTGACTTTCTTTTCTCCAGGCTAAACGTGCCCGGTTCTTTCATTCTTCCCTCTTAAGGTTGGTTTCCAGTCCTTGTTGCCCTCCTGCACACTTGCTCCAGTTTCTGGGTATCCTTCTTAAAGTGTGTGGTGTCCAGAACTGGCCACACTGCTCTCTGCCAACATTAAACCAGCACTTTACATAATGTACAATCCCTGCAACGTGAAGGGTGGGTCCACCCCTCCAAAAACACAGGTTCTCCTTCCTTTCTTCCTTGCTTTTCCTGCTAATCCTCCTTAAGAAAGTGAACCACAGCGATACTATCATTCCCTGGTCCTTTTCCCCTGGAAGGTTGTACGGATCGTGTCCCAATTTAGGGGATCTACTCCAGATGGGATTCCCAATTAGGTCCAGCACCCAGAATCAGGATCAACCGCCTTATATCCTCCATTGATCCATCAGTCTCCTCAATGGATCATGGATCCATCCCTCAAGGGACAGTCTGCAGCTGATGGGAGGTGTAGTCCAAGCACTTGAAGTCAATCAGGCTGACTCTAGAGATGGGGGGTTGATTTGTGATTTGAAACTACAGCTCCCAGAATTTCCCAGACAGGAGTGTACAGATTCTTGGCCACCTCTGTTTGCTTCTCCCTCTGCTTTGAAGGGTAGCAGTTTTCCAGGGACTCCCCGCTCTCGTAATCTTCCCCATCTTCCACCCCCGAGACCCTTTCCACTGCCGTGATATTAGCTTGAGGCCGATGGCATTGAAACGCAGGGGTCCTCTTACTCCAACTGTTATTTCAGAACTAGAGGAAACAAGTCAAATCATCAACCGATTTTGCTCCAGCAAAAATTGGTCGATGGTCTTCCGAAACTGGAGAAGGTGGGGATTGAACCCAGGACTTTCTGGATGCAAAGCCACTGAGCGACAGCCTTTTCTGACATTGTACTCCGTGACAACCCATTGGGGCTTCTACCTTCATATGGTTGCACAAGGAACGGGAGCCACAGGGCCACGCCACGGACGTTGTCTGCTGCCACCATATATATATATATTTGCATGATTCCGACTGGCTAATTGCTGCTAATTGGTGAAGTTCTCATGACGCTCCTGGTCACACGGCTGTCGTGGCAAATCCTCACGACAAATCACGGCGCAATCCCCCTTTTAAAACAGAACATGGCCTCTATACCTTATTTTAGGAGAAAACCCAGTCTGACGGTAATAGGGTGGGAGTTTTTTTTTAAAAAAAAAACCCTGAAACCAGAATTTCCATTCCTCCCAACATGAAAAAATAGGTTAGATTTTGAGTAAGTGGTTCAGGGGGACGCCATCAGTTCCATGGGTCAGCGCCTGATCCCAAATCCCAGAGAGAAACTCTTCTCTCTAAACCCCAGCACATTGGCTGTGAGGCAGGAAGGCTCTTTAGTTCAAGGATAATGGGAATTGTAGTCCAGCTGCATCTTGAGAGCCTGCAGTAGAAGCCTGTTGGTTCTCTGAGTTTGTAGAATTTTGGATTTTTTTTTCAGCATAGACTTCCAGCTTCTTTTTTCACTTGGGCACGCTGCTTGTATGTTCAGTAGCGGCCCATTTCAACTTGAGACGTATTCATTTGTACCGTCATCAGAAATGTTTTCTCTCTAAATCCTTTTCCATTTGTGTATTTCTTTTTCCAACACAGGCCTTTTGCGGATCCCGGGGCGGAGGCCAGACAGCCAGGTGAGCATGAGGAACGAGCGGAGAAGTGGTGGAAATGAGAATATAAGCTGTTGGAAAGGATGTCTTTTCACCGGCCAGAATCTGGTTGATGATTTTTTTAAATCAGTTGATCATGTCAGTTGCGGAGGTGAATGGTCACTGCCGGACGAAGGGGCTGGTTGAGTTCCTAGTCGGGCCCCTAGGCAGGAAAAGCGTACAGGCAGGAACGCAACCAGCACTTCATAACTGTGCAGCAAAATCAGAAGGGGCGAATTGAATTTAAGCTTCACCTTATATTCGTGGAGTTGCACGGAGTAGACTTTTGTCTAAAAGGGCGGGATAGAAATCTAATAAATAAATAAATGAAATGAAAGGGTGATGGGTGCGAGAGGCTGCTCCCGTGTGTGTACCGACCTTTCCCATTCAATTCTCGTAGAAAACGACGTCGCAGTCCCCAAAAGGAAGCGGAAGAGGATCTCAGAAGGGAATTCGGTCTCTTCCTCTTCGTCGTCATCATCCTCTTCCTCCTCAAATCTGGAGTCCACTTCGTCAACCAATCAGATCTCACTTGTGGTAAATATATCCATGGCGGTCTTAATTTCTACTTGAGGGGGAGATCGAGGAGGTCAACCTGAGCCGTTCAGATTTTGCAAATGTGGGACTTACCTGATGGAATGGTCCCCCGATACCAACCTTGGGTCCCCGGATGTTCTTGGACTGTAGCTCCCACAAATCTTGGCCAGCACAGCGAGTTTCTGGGAGTTTTAATTCAAGAACATCTGGAAACCCACGGTTGGGAACTACCACCCTATATCAACACAACTCCCTGCAGGTAGAAAACTAGCATGTCAGGGGAAAGCCTCAACCTTTCTTTCCTTGACATGCTAGTTTTCTAAGTGCAGGGCATTTTTAAAATGTGCAACACTTGCAGCCAGAGGTAGCGCAGCCCAAATGGAGATTAATAAACTATTGCCATGCCTCCCACTCAACCCAAACGAGGATTAGGACACTTCGAAAAGAACAGGACCAGACTGAGGCGACAGGAGAACATCAGGTATTTACACCCAACGGGGAGCAAACTGGTTTGGTGTTGTGGTTCCAACTGCTGAAAGAAAATAAAGAGGAGGTTGGTAATTAGAGAAAGGAAACTCAGTGGAAATCCATGTAATGATAGTGCAGAAGAGAAACTCTAGCCAATAGCGTAGTCCTCATTCAAAGGTGCAGATTTATAAGGGGGTCAAAGCCTCTTCTGTTAATGTGACTGCACTGTTCTGGCAGAGTCTTCTTGCAATGTGATCACTGACGTTTGAGATCAGGTAGCAGAATGGCCGGAAGACGTAGGCTGCGAAATGTCTGGGTTCATTACAGGTCTAACTAGCCTCCAGGCAGCTTGAGTTGGCCCTCAGCCATTTGGGCTAGTTAGGTTGGCACCCTGGTTTTATATAAGTCCCCGGGCATGGCCTCCACGAGCGTGGGTGTGTTTTCAGTTATTGTGGAGCCAGACATGCGTCTGCCTCTTTCTAGGACAGAGAAAGAGAGAGAGAGAAAAATCTTGGAGAAGAAGCAGGAAGGAAGGACAGCCAAAGAAGAGCAGTCTACATATCAAGAAGCCGTTAGAAAGGCAAAAAGGGAGCAGCCTCTAGCCCACCAGACCCTCACCTCCCTACTGATTCAGGTTACATGTCACAAGGGTTGATGCCCAATTTCCAGTGGAGATCGAGAACCAGATGGGGTGTAGGCACTGGTTTGTCTACGGAAGCAGACCAGACTGGTCTTTGCAACCCTCTTCTAGACTTGCCACGGAACAGTGTTCTACTTTGGATTTTTAATGTATTTCCCTTCCCTCTTCTCTCTTTCTTTCTTTTCCTAGCAATGGCCCATGTACATGTTGGACTACGGCGGTCTCAACGTTCAAATCCCGGGACCTATGAATTATTGAGACCTCACTTTCGGAATCAGAACCTCAGACAAACAAAACACCGCTAATGATGTGTAATTTTTTTTGTAAAAAGTGTATATTCCAATATGTATCGATGCCTTTTAGTTTTTCCAATGATTTTTACACTATATTCCTGCCATCAGGGCCTTTTTGAATAAAAAAAAATTAAGGAAATGTTGCCTTGCTCTGGAAAAAAAGAAAAGGTTTTTGAGTTATTGTTCTCGAGCGATGCACACTTAACAAACTTATTTGTGGGGGAAAGGAACAGAAGAAGTTGTATTGTACTGAGTCCATCTAACCTGGTTTTATCTGCTGTGAGTTCTCCAGCGTTCTTGACCAGCCCCATTAGTATGACGGAAACAGCAAAGATTATCAAGTGCAAGGATGTATTCTTAGAGACCAAGGAAGGGTTCCTCAGCACTATTACATTCCCTGTTACTATGTATGGATGTGAAAGCAGGAGAAGGAAAAAAGATGGCCGGGAGCAAGATCAGTTCGTTTGAAATAGAAAAGACAGTAATGCTGGGAAAAGTTCAAGGCAGCAGGAAAAGAGGAAGATCAAATATAAGGTGGACAGACTCCATCAAGGAAGCCACAAGTTTTACTGTATTTTTCTGTGTATAGGACGGCCCCCACTTTTTCTAATCCAAAATTAAGAAATTGAAGTGGGGCTTAGCAAGTGCAGGGGGAAAGGGATCAAAGCGCTGCAGGATAGCTTTGATCCCTGCTTTCCCCTCCACTTGTTTTTGTTCTCTCCTCAGCTTACTTCTGTGGTTAAGACGACCCTCAATTTTTAGTCTAAAGATTTTAGAGAAAAGTATAGTCTTATACATGGAAAAATACGGTCCTTTGCAAGAACTGAGCTGCTCATGATGGGGCATTTCGGAGGTCACTGATACATAGGGTTATGCTGGGTCATCGTAACAAGAAACATCCGTTTCATGATTTGCAATTTTTAAAAAGCCTTTCCAGTTATCCGCACACTCTCTCAGTTTCACGTGACATGACCGAAACAGCAGATTGTGAGGTTTTAACACCAGTAGGGCCCTTTTCCTCTCCACCTTTGTCTTGTTTTAATATTTTCAGCTGAACAAAGTCCTCTTTTCGGGAACTCCAGCCCTGGAGGGCCGTTTGGATCGTTTTTCGTTTGGCGCAAGGAAACGGCATTGCCCGACCAGTTAACAAGGTGCTTGTCTTCAGCTCACAGCAGACAGATGGCTCTGGTTTTAAACCCAGGGCAAGGTCTTTGAAAAAACAGATTTCCACCCATATGGAGCTGAACGAAACAGCAAAGGGTTCAAGCAGATCTCTAAATCATGAGGAACCGACATCATGTTCGTGGGTTGCATGCCACCCTCTCCCAGTTTTGCAGCTTTAATAAGGACCCCGAGATCTGCATTTTCTTAATTTAAGCAAGATGAGCTGTGTTGCTGAATGCCTCCAGGAAGTACAGTCCTGTAGATCCGCCCCAGGCTGTGTTTTTAGGGTTGCCGGATCAGAAATCTCTGAGATTTGAGAGCCAAACCCCAAAGAATAAGGATGTGCCTCTTTTGAGGTTAAGGTTGTTAATCCTTGATCTGTTGGAATTATGCACCATAAAGCAGCAATTGTGTAAGTTGAGTGTGTGATCTGGCTGGCTGTCACACACCGAGATGCATCCATGTTGTGCCTTCAGTCCTGTGCCTGAGCGAAAATGTGAACGTTGCTTTTAAGATGATCGTTGTGTGCGAGATATTTTGCTGCCGGGTGTGGGTCCTTGTGATGTCGCAGAGACGGGGCAGACGAGAGTCCGTGGGGAAGAGCAACTTCAGTGCAAAGTGATTGTGCGAGAAAGCCCATGTGGCCTTTGCTGCTTTCTCCATCCTAACCCCCAGAGTTGCTGATGCTCTCCAGGGTTGGGAGGTTTTCATCAATCTTCAAACCGTTAATACCTCCTGAAGGTATTGGGGGCCCCTGGCAGGACCAGTTTGATACCCTGTGTTTCTGGGAGAGGCTGTGAATTCAGGATTTTTCCCAGTCTAGTATTCTCTTCGATGGGATAAGTCATCCTTGGCATCATCCTCCGAAGACGTCTCCACCAAGTAAAGTGTGCTATCTCCTCTCGCTCCTGTGGCTTGATGGTGCGCTGCATAAGGATGGGATTTTTCAGCTTTTTCTGGACGATACCATAATTTTCCATTCCGAGAGTTCTGCTTACTCATAGGCCCCTAACTGTGGCTCGCCTGGAAGTAGGGCCTCAACCAGAAGGCTTTGAGGCTGAGCTAGGCCTACCTCCACCCAAGCTTCCTGCTCAGAAGGAAAGCTCCCATCTACCACTGGGGCAGGAACAGGAAGCTTGCTTGGAGCTAGGCCTAGCTCAGCCTCAAAGGCTTCCAACGGAGGCCTTTGTCCCAGGTGCCTGTAAGGTGAGTAGAACTCCCAGAATGGAGAATGATGGTGTTTGTAGTCCAAAACAAAATATATACACCAATTCCCTAAGATGTGGCAAGCTTACTTGTTTCCCGGTAGGTTTTTGAGAAACCAGGTTTGGGACTTCTGGCTACTTCCAGTCTGGGTTTCTCCAAACATCCTTGGGACAGTGAAGCTTGCCCAAGGCTATACAGGCTGGCTCTACTCACAGGAGGCACAGTCGGGAATTGAACTTCCAACCTCTGGCTCCGCAGGTTAGCCTTGAGAAAAGAAGACCGAGACGTCAACAGTGAATGAACTCTGTACAGTAGGATCGTGGTGTCTGCTGGAGATCGGTTCCAAGACCCACTGAGGATGCCGAAAAACACAGTATTATCAAATGCTATACATTGCTAGAACTGGCTCCCTATGGTGGCCAGTTCTAGCAAATATACTCTTGAAATACATATAAATACATATTTCTGGGAGGGTGTTATTTCGTATTTTCATAGGCAGTGGATAAATGAACCAATAGACATTGATCCCAGGACAATGAGTTTGACTGTAGTTCCTTCTGCTTCATTCCAGAACCAAGACTGAACTTGTGAATTAATGGTGTTAATTCAATGAGTTCAAGGTTTCCCGTTTTTTTAAGTTAACAGCAATAAATTAACCTTCCAATTTCGAACACTCTGCATTATTGGATGAATGTTCAAACTGGACCTTTCAAGCTGTGCCCTAGAGCGGATGTCAAGGGGGATAAGCTCATAGCTACCACTTAAATGTCACTGCTGATGTTGGGTGGGCCTTCCAGATTCTGCTTCTCACCTCTGGTCTTTCTCCCCCAAACCACTTGATGGGTGTTGCTTATTCCTGGGGCCAACGTGCAGCTGATGGAAAGTGGTTGATCAAGAACATCTCCCATTGCCAAATTGCTGATTGCATGACTACTGTTTTCGTTCTATCGCTAATTCTGGTGGTTTTCCTGTAATCGTCTGTCTTTTCACTGGAAGCCCCTGTGCAAACGTTCTGGATGATATATGCAAAGGGGATCTTGTCTGGCTGCGATTAAGATTGTGGAGCAGTGATTTTTCCGACAGTTTGCCAGGAATCTGACAATATCTTGATTCACTTCTACGTAGGAGCTCAGATGAGGAATAACATGAAATAGAATTTTTAATTTATGGTTTTATTAGGGTTTTTTTTTAAAAGTCCGACAGTTTGCCAGGAATCTGACAATATTCACTTCTATGTAGGAGCTCAGATGAGGAACAACATGAAATGGAATTTTTAATTTATGGTTTTATTAGGGGTTTTTTTTTAAAGTCCCAGTGAAAAATCCCAAACAGATGGCATCTCAAAGGAGATGAATGAAAGGACAATCAATATGATTAAATATATTGGGTTTTGCTTTGTTTAATGATGACTGTAGGAGGGTTGGAGAAGTCCAGCACGGAAAGTCACCTGCAACTCAAACTGGGAACCAGAAACATACATATGCCATCTTTTGCAAGCAGTTGTTGCTGATCATGGCTAACCTTCAGCTCCCACCTGAACTTCATCTGATTCTCAATAAAACCAAGAGTTATGTTGCTAAGACTAAATGTACGAGAAAAAGTCAAATGTGGGGGGTGGACTCTATTAAGCAAAAAGCAGCAGGCTTAAATTTGGAAGAAATGAACAGGGCTGCTATGGACATTCTGGAGGTCATTCATTCACAAGTACCCATCAGATGCCCTCACGGCAGTTCTGACTCATGCATTTTTTTGAGACAAGAGAATACTTAGAAGGGGCTTCCCATTCCCTTCTTCCCTTCTTCTGGGGGCATCCTGGGACTGTACAGCCTGCCCAAGGCTACACAGGCTGGCTCTTCTCCCAGGAGGCCCAGTGGGGAATTGAACCGTCAACCTTTGGCTCCACAGCCAGAGACCGAAACCACTGAGCTATCCAGCCAGCTCCAAAGTGGTTGGCCATTCCCTTTCTCTGCAGCTGCTCTGAGACTGGGCAGCTTGCTCAAGGCCACCCAGGTTGGCATAGTGGAGGAATTGAACTCCCAACGAAAGCCATGGCTTCCAATCTTGCTGATGAGTCACTGTGAGTAGAAACAGGAGGTCCTTAATGGTTTGCTGTTTCCAGAGATTAACTTGATCCTGCCTATAGATCTCGTGCATATAACAGCACACAATCAGAGCTTCTAACATTCAGTTGTGAGGGGACTCCGTTTATTTAGAAGTCACTTTCTGACTTGAAAGCAGTCCTAATATGATTTTTCAGGGGGGCGAGATGGTCCTTGAGTGGATCTCTATGGCCACATCGTGTTGACTTTCTGTGGCCGATGGGGATTTGAACCCAGGATTCATGGATCCTAATCCAAAAATAAGGCACTGCACATCGACTCTTCTGGAAGCTTGGTTGGCTTAATGGAGGCCAGCATGGTTCAGTCAGGGTTGGATGACAGGTGTTTTGACCCAGTGCATTGAAACTTAAAAAGAGTTTGCAAAATTGGCTGCCGGTAGGGCACAAACAACTTTCTTTTTCTTTCTTTCTTTCTTTCTTTCTTTCTTTCTTTCTTTCTTTCTTTCATTAATTAATTAATTAATTAATTAATTAATTTATATCCCGCTCATCTGGTATATTCTACCATACAGTAAATATTTTGCTGCTCAGAGGTCTCGAGGCCGCCTGCCTGAGGGATGGACAGCCTCCCAAATCACTCTTCAGAAAAGAGCAAGCAGAAATCAGGCAGGATTTGCAGGGAACTGAGGTGGCTGCTATGGGCTCAGCCCTAGGCAAGCTTTCTTTTCCTTCCACATACCGATGCAACTTAAGCTTGGCCAAGAGGACAGTGAAGTCTTGGTTGCCAACAGCTTTTCCGGAAGTTGCACCCCTGTTAACACAGGGTTGCCCCCCCCAAGCTTCTAATCCCTGTACAAGTGGATAAATAAGTAATCCAGAAGCTTAGAGATGCACCAATTCAGCAGGTCTTTGTATCTTCTCTCATGGTGGAGTGCTGGTAGATCAGTGGTCCCCAATCTTGGGCCTCTAGATGTTCTTGGACTACAAATCCCAGAAGCCTTCACCACCACCTCTGCAGGCCAGGATTTCTGGGAGTTGAAGTCCAAGAACATCTGGAAGCCCAAGGTTGGGGACCACTATAACTATTATAGATCTCCTTTATTTATTTATTGGATTTATATACCGCCCATCTAGAATGTGTCTACTCTGGGCGGTTATATTAATAAACAAGTACAGCTGATATTCTGCAAGGTTAGATAACTGCTGGATAGCTCAGTGGTTTAGGCATCTATCTGGCTGCGGAACTAAATTATCATTACTAGAAAAAACCTAGTCACAGGTAACTATGTTATTTGTAACACTTTGCTTTCGAATGTTCAGTCCAAATTAGAGCAGACTCATTGAATCGATAGTGGTTACAGAAGTCTTAACAAATGCCACAGAGATTCAGCGGATGCTGCCCATTTGGCACAAAACAATTGGATTTCGGACTAGCGTTTATTACACTATTATTTTTATTACTTTCAAAATGCATACGATAGCAAATATAATACATTTCCCCATGGTATTTGTCCTGAATTTGATTCATGTAAAACAATATTCAACCTCATACTAATGAGGCTATTAAAATTGTAGTGTTAAAAAAATACTCATTTTTAAGCATTATCACTGTAGCCGACAATAATACCTCCTGTCGTAAGATAATAGAAAACCCAATTCTACACGTATTATGATTAATATTAATTAGGAAATGGGAGTGCATTAAATATGTCAGGGGAGGTTCGGAATTCGAAACAAGAGATATTCCGAAGATTTTAGAAAAGCAATCTAAAAAATGGTAGTACTACAGATAACCCTTCTGAGAGCGTGTGTGTACTCTGTACTACAATTGCTACAATAATGTTTATCTCTCTGTGATATTAGATATGATCTATCTTATCTATGATATAATATACATATTTATGCATGTGTGTGTCTATATATATATGTCTATATCTATCTATATCTATATATATGTCTATATCTATATCATCTATATCTATCTATATGTCTATATATATGTGTATGTATATATATATATATATGTCTATATCTATGTCTATCTATATCTATATGTCTATATCTATGTCTATCTATCTATCTATCTATCTATCTATCTATCTATCTATCTATCTATCTATCTATCTATATATCTATCTATCTATCTATCTATCTATCTCTAGATATAGATATATAAACACTGCATCTTGAATGGCAGAAAACAGAGAAAGGCTCAAAATGTTTCTAGCCCTCATGGCTGAGAGAAGAAACAAAAAAAAATCGGGCGGCGTTTTTCAATGCCATAGATGTTGATTTTAATTCCGAGATCGAGATCCTGCTAGCGCTTGAGGGTTCCTGGGTCTGACTCGTTTTTCTTCCCCTGTTTTTTGACCCTTCTTTCGTTTCTTTCCAAGGGCGAAAAACGACACGCCACGTCCGATCGGCTCTGCCGCAAGGATTTCTCCCTCCATGGAGGACGGAAAAGGAAAAAAAAAACCTTGGCCTCCTTTCCTTCCTGAGGCTTGCTTGCTTTTTTCCCCCCACCTCCTCTTGCCAGCTCTCCGGCCTCTGCAGCAAGATTCCCTCATTGTGCACGGGAAGGGGGAGGGGAAGGGGTGGGATTTTCCTATTTTTTAAAAAAATCAACTAGGGTTTTGTAAGGATGTGTCTCCCCCCCCCTTATTTGCTCTGCACCCACAGAGGATCAAAAAATATACCGAAATGCACCTTATGATTGCACTGATGATGTTGCAGTGGCATGCCTTAGGATTTCTAATTTTTGCAGTCCTGAGTGTGCAAATGGATTGCAGGGGCCTTTCTATTACATGCTCTGGGCCTGCCCGCCCTAGATTTCTCCTTCCCACCCACACCCCTATTTTTGCACAGCCATTTTTCCCCCTCTCCCCTTCCTCCCTCCTCGTCCTAAAGGGAGGAAGGAAAGAAGGGAAAATAATAATAATATTAATAATAAATAATAATCATAATCGAGGCCAGCGTCGCCCTTCCATCTGCCCGGGCGCCCGCGCGGAGCATCCTGGGACGGGTAGTCTCCCCTCCCCTTGCCCAACACGAGGCGACCCGCCGGGCCGAACTACGCGGCCCAGAGGCACCTTGCGGGGTCGGCGCAGGCGCAGAAGGGGGAAAGGAGGGGAAAAAAAGAGAAGAGGCCCCGTTTCCCTTCCCTACGGCGCCCCCCCCCCTTTCACGGTTCTGGGTTCAGGGTGAGCCGTCGAGCGAAGGGCCCGCGCGCCGCCCCGAGACTTGAGCGGTGGGGTGGGGGTGTGGGAAGGAGGAAAAGCCCGGGAAGGAAAGGGATTAAAAAAAAACACCCCCTCAGGAGGAGGAAAAAAAAAAGGGACAGACAAGCGGAGAAGAGCGGAGGGGGCCCGGCATTGTGGGGTCATTTTTGCCCCCCTCAGGAGGACCTCTTTCTTCCTCACCCCCCCCTTTGTGTTTGTTTGTGTGTGTGTGTGTGGTTTTGTGTGTGGAAAACACGACGCCGAAGCAACGGGTGAGTTGAGGGGGGGTGTAAAAAATTTAACTCTTCAATCCGGGGGGGGGTTGTTTCTTTGAGGGAAGGCCTTCCTTCGCCTCAGACTTCTCGCTTTCCCTCAACGGTAGGCCTGAAAAGCTGAGGTAAAATGGGTGGGGGTGATGGGGGTTTCCCCCCCCTTCGTCGTCTTCTTTTCCTGAGGTAATTTTCCACAGGCACAACAAGAAGGAGGGAGGGTTTGGAGAGGGGGTGGGATTTTATGTATTTATTTATTTATTTGTGGGGGGTGATGGAAGGGGAGAATTTTTTTTTTAATTTTAAAGAGTGTCTGAAGGGGGGTGAGGGCAGATTTTTTTTTTAACGTTTGAAAGGGTTGAATTAATAGATCGTGGCTTGTGCTTCGCTGGATTTCGACTTATCGATTGAAACCTTCCCCCCCCCGCCGCTTCAGTAATACAGATCGATTTAGGATTTATTTATTTATTCGTTAAGTGTGTCTCGTTCCCTCTTCGTGCCGAAAAAAAAAACCCTCCTTCCTTCTGGACGGTGTACAGTCGTAAATAAAAACAAGAGGAAAAACGAACTTAAAAACGTATGATCTGAAGAATAAGGGTCGTTGTGATGATTGTTATTCTATTTCGAGCTGCTGCAAGAAAGTGGCCGGCAGGGTAGGAAAGGAAGGGATGAAACTTAACGAGTTTGAAAGACTCCTGGTTGTGGTGGTGGCTGCTTTCGATTCATTTGTGGGGGAGACAAAAACAAAAACAAAATATGTACATCCCAAAGTTACGGGCAGGCTTGTTTTAAAGAGGAGAAATTTGAGAAGGTAACTCGAAAAAAAAGCAGAATAGGGGAGCAGAAGCAAACAGGCCAAGAAGAACCCGACAGAAAACTTCATGTTTGTTGCTGCTCACCTGAGTCGTTTATCTTGGTGTCAAAACTACGTTTATATATATTTAGTTTATACGTTTATATAGATAAATATATAGATATAAGATATAGCTATTGTATGTCTATATGTATGTACACACACACATACCGATTTTTCTTAGGTAGATATAGATATAAAATCCCCATATATACGGTTGGAATTTTATATCTATACAACACACACACACACAAATCTCAGTGTTTATGTGTTTTATATATAAAAACACTGTATATATTTTATACACACATATAATCCCTCACCTGCCCATCCAGGACACACTGAAAGAAGAGCCAAATATAAACATAAACATTGTATTATATACGTGTGTGTGTGTGTGTGTGTACTTGTGTGTATACACCCTGCTTATATATAAAACCAGTATTCTATAGGTAGGAGGGTAGATGTTATTTCATATTTTGGCACTTCTTTCAGTGTTTCCTGGGAGGGCAGGTGGGGGATTTGTGGGCCTGTTCAAAAAATATTCAAAGAATAGGGATATTATGTATCCTCCTCTCTCTAATTTATTTCAAGCTTAATTTATAATGATGAGTTGATAATAATCTATAATAATACATTTCCTCACACAAGCTCCCCAGCGTTTGTTGGGAGAAGAGGAAGAGGTCTTTGATCTGTTATTTTTATGGGGAACTGAAAAGGATTGGACCTTTTAATTTTTTTTTAAGGAAAAGTAATAGGAATGTGTTAGGAAAAATAGCAAGGTTAATGAAAAGGACAAACTTTTCAGAGTTTTCCCTGTTTTCCATTAGGGAAGGAATGCTTTAGATAATTTTTTTCAAAGGGGAGGAATATTAAGGTGTTATGATGCTGCTATCCCTAGGGGTATAAGAACTTCCTTATTTTCCCCATGGAGAGATTGAGACACTTTTATTAGTCATCTTTAAGTCATCCTGGGAGCTTTTTTTGACTATAAGACTGAAAATGTCTTAAAGACTAAAATGTAGATTATTAATAACTTAACTCCTTCTATACTCTAGAGACGGTGATGGTATTCTAGTCGTCTGTTACTATGATAATAATCCTATTGATATATTGTTGTGGTAGTTATAAATACCCAGATTCCCTCACCCTCCTGGAAAATGAGGCGATAGACCAAAAGGCATAATAGTTTTAATGACAACCACAAGAGAAGCATGATTGTAGTAAAAAATAATAATTTGTCCATTTGCCTTCTCACTAGTATTCCTTGGGATAAAGAAAACTCCTCTATTAAACCTAGTTTGTCTAGAAAAGGAATTAAGTCCTCCTCCTTCCTTATTACGATTTTACTAATAATATTTCTTCTTATGCACCCGTCTCCCAGTTCTCCTGTAGAGGAAGGGTTACCCTGATCTATTTCTGGGGTGGGGTTTGAGCCATTAAAAATATGATTGTTGAACACTAAAAAATTTAGACAGGACTGTCTGCTTTATTTCAAAATGGGTGGGGGGAGAGGAAGGAGCCTAGGATAAACTTGTTAAGTGCTTTGTTTTAACCCTTCTCTTCCCAGTAGGTGAAGTAGGTATGGCTGGTCTTGAGCCAGCTTTTCAGAGGAAAACTTTGAGAAGCCCCTCTACCACCAAAATGACTGGTACATAGTCACCCAGTGGACTTGTTGGTGAAATGAAGTTGCACCTTCTGAGTTACAGTCCAGCACTCACTTGGGTTTATCCTTATACCGTTTTCTAGGGAGGGAGGAGTTTCACCTCTATATTGTGACCTGTTCCTTCATATCCTTCATATGTGAGGGACCTAAATAGGTCTTGGAGAAATTCAGAGCAGAGGCATATACTGTACTCAGCTTTGTATAAGTATTCAGTTAAATTTTTATTTCTCTGGTATACTATGGGGAATAGACTTCTGGGATTCTCCATATTTGGGACAATGTTTAATGTGCTCTATTCCAGTCAAGGTTGTCCCTTGATAATTATTTTATTTTTATGTTGTTTTCCGATTCGTGTCCTGTTGCAAATATGATAGCTAGAGGAAAGGCTTTTTTCCATTTCCCCCACCCACTCCAATTCTGAAGGGAACCTTTCATCTCCTTTTTCACGTCATGTTTAAATGAAGACACAGCCCTAGAAGGAAGAGCTGTGTCTTTACCTGTCCTCTCAGATTTTTCACTCTGGCAAGAGTGGCCAACTTATGGCCCTCAAAATGTTATTGCACTGTAATTCTCATCAACTGTGTGCATGCCATCATGTTGATTCCAACTTATGGTAAACTTTTCCAGGGTTTTCTATGTAGTGAATACTCAGACAGAAGAGGTTTACCATTCCCTTCTTCTGGGGGCATCTTGGGAATATGCAGCTTGCCCAAGGCCACACAGGCTGACTTTTCTCCCTGGAGACACAGTAGGAAATCAAATTCCCAACCTCTGCCTAAACTACTGGGCTATCCAGCCAGCTCACCATCTCTAACCATTAATGGATACCACAGTCCAATATATAGATTCCTGTTCTAAAGATTGTATACTAAGGTTTGTAGTGGAAGCGCTGATTTTAGATATTTGCATGGTAGCTAACAAATCTAGGTAATTTATACCTTAATAATATAAAATGATTTGTTTTGGAACTCTTTTAAAAAAAGGAATAAAATCATTAATTGGGCTGAGAAGAGATCTATGTCGTTTCCCTAACCTTTTGTTGTTGTTCATACAGTGGGGTCTTGACTTGAGAACTTAATCCGTATTGGAAGGCGGTTCTCAAGTCAAAAAGTTCTCAGGTCAAATCTGCATTTCCCATAGGAATGCATTGAGAACCATTTGATCCGTATCTGCTCTTTTCCGTCCATAGAAACTAATGGGAAGCTGCTATTCTGCCTTCGACCACTAGAGGGGGATATTTTGTTTCTTTTTTTCTTAGGTCAAGAAAGGTTCAGGGAAAATCAAATTCCCAACCTCTACCTAAACTACTGGGCTATCCAGCTAGCTCACCATCTCTAACCATTAATGGATACCACAGTCCAATATATAGATTCCTGTTCTAAAGATTGTATACTAAGGTTTGTAGTGGAAGCGCTGATTTTAGATATTTGCATGGTAGCTAACAAATCTAGGTAATTTATACCTTAATAATATAAAATGATTTGTTTTGGAACTCTTTTAAAAAAAGGAATAAAATCATTAATTGGGCTGAGAAGAGATCTATGTTGTTTCCCTAACCTTTTGTTGTTGTTCATAATTTCTTTTGATCCTTTCTGGAAGGTGGTGCTTTTCCTATGTTGTAAAATTCCTGTCAGGAAATCGGCTGACCCATCCTATAGAGAAATGGGGAGCATAAATACTGTTCTTCCATTCCTAGCATTACAGTTTTATTTAGACTGTAGGACATTTCTTAACATTGTCAACCAAGTCAAGTCAATATTTTCCTATGAGAGTGGTTCTTAAGTCAAAATGTTCTTAACTCAAGCCGTTCTTAAGTCAAGACCCCACTGTAATTTCTTCTTTTGGTCCTTTCTGGAAGGTGGTGCTTTTCCTATGTTGTAAAATTCCTGTCAGGAAATCGGCTGACCCATCCTATAGAGAAATGGGGAGCATAAATACTGTTCTTCCATTCCTAGCATTACAGTTTTATTTAGACTGTAGGACATTTCTTAACATTGTCAACCACCTTGAATGTATTTGGCAAAGGATGGCAGTGTGAAGGTGTTAAAATAAATACAAGCACGTTTACGTGGAAGTCAACTGTGCCTAGGATTACAGCCTGACTCTACCCATGGTTACCCAGAAATAAGTCCTACTCTGTTCAACAGAGCTTACTCCCAAGTGTATAATAGGATTGTAGTCTAAGTCTGTTATCTTTTCTTTTCCTGCCACCAATTTCTCTAATGGACATGTATGTACACTTCTGTTCTTCCTCTATATAACTGTCCAAATTGAATCTTTTATCATTTTCTCCTACTTGTCTGTCTGCTGAATGAGAAATCCTATATGGGGGAACTTTGACTTTCACTGTTGGTGCTCCTTCAACCTCTTCCGGAAGTTTTAGGAATATATTCTGTGATTATTTCTTTATTGAGGACTAGCAAATAAACCTGCCTTTCCTCTGTTGAAACCCTGTTAGTTTGACTACTTACCACTCACATCGCA